GGGGGGGGGGGGGAGGGGGGAATTCTCTATTTTTGCAGTCAGGGATTCACCTCACTGCCCCTTTCCCGCCCTTCAAGAGGCTGATTTGAAAAATTAACACACAAGAAATTGTTTTGTATTTAAACATTTGAGATCATCCTCGCCTGTGTTCAGGAAAACAAGGGAAGCATAAGCCTTTCTTCATGAAGACATTTAAAAACAGAAGTAAGCTCTACTCTTGCGATAATCAAGAATACTGCCTGATTCATATTTGGTCCGGACACAATCCCAGGATTTGAAGGGGAAATATATAATAACAATAATAACAATAATAATAAAATAAAAGCTGAGTGGATGCTCTCCTGGATGGCAGCCTTGCTTTTAGCAGAAGCCCCCAGTCTGTTGTTGAAATACATCAATAGTGTCCTCGTCCTCCATTTCCAGCTGAAAACAAGCACACATTGAGGTCAAACACAGAGGTACAAAGAGAAAAAAAGAGACTACTTCTCCCTTAGTGCTGGGGCAAACATTTACCAAACAAACCTAGTTAAACCTAGTTAAAATGTTATCAAGCTGATTAGTTTTTCAGTATCACAAGTATTAAATTTTTAAAAATTAATCTTTGTAAAGAGGTGTTTAAACACAAGGAGCGACAGCACAACTACAATTTGTAAAAATGACATTTATACTGATTAAACTAGTTTTAGAGAAATTTGAAACTAGTGTTTGTTAACATTGATCTGATACCAAATCTTTAAAAAAAAGCAACTTTTTGGTGATCAACATTTACCACATACTAACCTGTGCAGGTGTGTCCGTCTCATTGATTGGCTGCCCGTCAAACCTAAACCTAATCTGCCTAATTGACAAACCCTGAAAAAAAAACACAAAAACATGAAACTCACCAATTAAAATGTACAATTCAGAATGCAGGAAGGCATCTACATACATTCACCGTTATAATAATTACAAATAGCATTTGAAAATGGCCATATTAATGATGTAACCGTGTTCAAGGATCACATTCAGCAACAGTAAGCTTTGATGACAGATTTCAAAACAAGATCAACAAGGGTCAGTCTGAAACACATTATAGGTTAAAATTTCACCTCTCTGTGGCTTTAAATTCCTAAAAGATGACAGCCCCTGGGTAGCACTTACATGCCACTGAATTCAATACAGGACACCTGTAGTGTGACTCGAAATATCAGTAGAGGACTCACCTGCCTTTCGCAGTAAGCTTTCATTAGTTTGCTGAGGGGGGTGTGCCGTTTAATTTTGAACTGGACCACTGATCCATCTTGGCCAGCCACCTTCAGATTGATGTGGTCATTCTCAGTCTTCACACCCTCCTAAAAAAAGACCGTGCAAATTCAGTATTTCTGTAGACAACACGAGGTACGATGCTTACGAAACTGAAACCAAATTGCTGTTTCGTTTTTGAGGATTATTTTTGGTTCAGTAACCCAACTGTTACGTAACTTATTTGCTTTCTGTATACCTGTCATGTCAGCAGGCAGTGTGAACGGAAGATCACTGGCCACCACCTAGACTAATATTCCTTTTATATTTTAAATTAAAAAAAACGTCGCCTGTATGCGTAATTGTACGAAAACTAACTGGATGCTCGATGCTTGCAATCTGCACCCATTTCTTACTGAACTAACGGTTCCGTTTTGGAATAATTAAGCCCGAAGGGAAAGCAACATATTGCCACTATACTCGCAGTAGCGGCAACAAGCGGCAGCCAAGCCCCGAGTTTGACAGATCACAGCAGGGTGAGGGTTAATGGCCCGGGGAAATCGGCGCGTCCAGCACGACGCACAGGTAAATGCTCCACCACACATCAGCAGCCGGTTTATGTGCACCATGTCCACCGATCGGGACAGCTCCGCACCTCCCTTCCAAATGGCGGCAGCCCCAGCGGCCCCCCTCCCGCGCGGCTGCTCGCTACGCTCGCGGCGTACGGTCGACGCGGGCGGCGCGCGCGGGCCGCGCTGCCCACAAAGAGAAGCCCCACAACGGTGGCGGCCGAACGGCATCCCGGGGAAACGGCGCGTCGGGAAAAAGAAACAATGGCGCAGTTTCCGCGGGAGTCTTCATCCGCCCACGCTCGTAGGGGATGCTAGAAACATTCATCCGGCGTTTAAAAAGGCGCAGCCGTCGCCGTCAGCGGCCGGCAGACTCGCATTCCGATGAACCTTTCGCTTCTCCTTCCAGCCGCTCAAATGCGGAATACGACCATCGCCGAACACCGCGCTTGCACATATAGTCCCTTGCGGGCAGTTATGTAATTCACCTAATAAAATACTACCCACGCTCCTTACGCAAACTTATATCTTACCTTTGGCTTCTCCTCAGACATGTCGCTGAGTGACGATATTTAGATGCGAGAAGGCAACAAATTTATAAAGATAAGCACCTTTCCACCTCTCCTAGTCTCCTTCGCAGCTATCGGGAACGCGCCTGCTCCCCACAATTTGATTGGCCTTTACGGGGTCAGGTGGTATGTTTTTCTCGGGAGCGTGGATTTGTGAACGCGCACAATAAATTGGTCGCGCGGAATCGGAATCCAAGCGTCTTGAAAACAGGTAAATGGCGTTGTGAATAGGAGAATGGTACACCCGGAATTTTGGAAGCGCAGGATATAACTACTACAAATTACTGTTAATGATTTGACATCGTATCAAACTTTGTTTTAGTCGATACGTCGTGTTTTAGTTTTCTGGTTCTCTAAACATGGAGCGTTACATAATCCATATATCACCGGGTGTACAGATAAAATAATTTATTTAAAATATTATACGTTATTTATATAATTTTTCGTTCAGTTGTGACAATGTGTAAACTGTAAGACCAAAAGACAAACAAACCAGTTCGGCTATTAGATCCCTGCAAATTAGTACAAACATATATGTTGACATTAAGACAGTCAGGTCTTATGAATTATAGAGGATGACTGTATATGTGAAACAAATGCCACTATTATACTTATTATAAGCAAAAAACATATTACAAGAAAAAATATATACTTAAGACATGTAGTTTGTTTTGAGGATTATACTACATTTACTACATTACGAATACTAATATCCGAAGAAAGGAAATTAAGACATTGATACATTTTTACACATACAATTTACTTCTAAAATCATATAATTTATTACAAAGCCTTTAAAATATAGACGTTTCTAAAATAATTCAAACTATTTGAAACAAACTTGTGGTTACAAAGGAAGAATTTGTTTATGTGGATTTTGGGGGCAGAATATATATATACACACACACACACACACACACACACACACACACACAACCCCCACCCCCCCCCCCCAACTCCAGAGACTAAACTGCGAACCACTTCACCACCACACCACCCAGCTTTGACAATTCTTGTAAACAATGAAGAGTTCTTGGTAAGGATACAGTTATGACCTGGCGTTATGACTTCCTCATTACAATAAACAGTAAATTAACGAACAATTAACTAAAGTACATAAACTTACAATGTCCACTGGGGGTGGCAGACACATTGATCATTTGGGGAATAATAACGATAGGAAGTAGGAAGTATAGTTTAAATCTGTAATTAATGTGACAAAAAAATCTGCTTGTACTACTTGGTGTAAATATACAACTGCAAAAAGAATCATCTGAGACAGAATTTGTGCTTTTCACTTTAGCATTCTGTTTCCATTTTCCAGTCCTGTGAATCAGCCATACGACGACTGGAATTGATGATGAGTTACACTTTACATTCATATCCCGCAGAAATTCAGCACTTGTGGCGGCAGACGTAAAATGATGTCATCGTAGGTTTGAGGCACTTCACCAGAAGTGTGGAGGCAGGAGACTAGTCAGCACTTCTTCCAGAAAGTACTCTGTACATTCATCACAGTGGAGTGTCCGTTTGAAAAAACTAATTCAAAGAGATGATGAAATCTATGTTTTTCACAAAAAGATCATACATGGAATTCTGAGAAAGTAGGGTGGTATTTTTACAGCTGTAACTAAATTTCTGGGAAAGTTGTTTTGTCTGTACTTAAAGTAATTTACTAAGTAATTTACTAACTAACTAACTAACTAACTAACTAACTAACTAACTAACTATCTCTCTCTCTCTCTCTCTCTCTCTCTCTCTCTCGATAACAGCATTATTCTGATGTTACACATGTTTAATCTGCCACAATCTTTTTCCTGCTCCTTCAATGGCTGTGAAAGACCCGGAACAACATTCAGATGTCAGGGAAATGCAAGGCCTTTTTAATCACACTGCCAGATACAGATACAACGCACCTTAATTGTCCTCAAACCGGGCATATGGGTTTTCCTTCGTCAGACCTGAAAGAAATAAAAAATATTTTGAACACAATGGATTGGTTGGTATATCAATTATACACATTAAACAGACTATCTGCAGGTCTATCTATTGTGAATATACTGTAGTTTTCTGAAGATATTTCCAACTTAAAGGCTAACTGCTCACTTCCCAGTTGTACACTGTCCATTAGTTTGTTTAAATTATGGCATTCCCATGTTCTGATATCTATATATTAAAACAGTACCCCTTAAACAGTTTTTAATTTATAATATTTTTTCCATGAAACCTCAGTGCTATGGAGATGTGAAGCAGTCTAAATGATAGCAAATTTGCATTGTGTGAGAATTATGAAAAGAAAATAAAACTGCTTGAAATATCACTATATTTTATATTTTCTGGAAAACTGGGATCCTAAACAGCTGGAGGTACTGCAGCGGTCATATTTCCTGGTGAATTCAGATACAGAATGCACAATAACGGTGATATCAGCCTATCATATTCAGTATTATAGCCATTCATTACGGGTGTTTAGTAATACAGTAAACATGGCGAAGTTGGTCTGAAAACACACAGGACAGTGGCACAGGAAGGGTGTGCCTCAAACATAGGAATACATAGAGGCCTTGTTCTTAAAAAGGGGAGAATATCCCACTCACCATATTTCATCCTGATCTCATCGTGCCTCATCTTCATTTCCGCCTTCCTGCAGTCACACAATCAACTGGTCAGAATCTCAAGTGAAATCTTAATCTGTTACACAAACATTTTTCTCTTATTGGTTTGTTACAGTGTTTGTTCTGGATTATCAGTGCATGGATGGACTCCCCTGTCGCAGTGGTGGTTAAAATCGCCAGCGGCGATGCATCTCATATTTTGTGCTGTGTAATTTGGGGGACTGTAAATCTGTATGGTTACGTGAAACAGATCCCTAAAAAAAAAACAGACTACCCCCACTCTTCTTTGAGGGTTTCAAATGCAATCAGTGCTCTGCAGCCTAAAGGTATGTGTAGCTGTAGACTTCAGATGAAATCGATGTCGTTTTAACAATATGACTTCATACGAGCAGTGATCGCTGTGGAGATCACCGTTTCGGCATACCACCTGTGCAGAGGCCCTGAGGAGAACCTTATCATTTATTCCGATGCCACCCACTGTCCATGATTGGCTGATATAATGTGATGCTGCAGGACTAATTATGCAGCCACCAGCATGCTTTGCACCGCAACACACTTTAAATAGTGTCCGGTGATGCGTTCCGAAACCGACCACAGATAGCCGAAACCATGGATAAAAGCAAACCATCTGCAGACCCCATATATAACGTGATTTTTATGTATTTACATATAGTAATTGATACGTCATGCATAGTAAGACATTACCAAAATTAAATACAAGTAATAATAAAGTACATTGTAAATTATACAGCACAGTACTGTCTCGAAATAAAGGCATTCTGGTGTTTTAGCCTAATTCTCAACAGATGCAATGAAAAAACATCATGCATCAAGGAATGATCGAGCAATGAAAATGAACAATGAAAAAACACATTGTTACACATCTTACAATTTTTTTTTCCTATCCACAGTTACTGAAACTGCAAATATGTCGTGTAAGTTGTTGGCTTCCCTGTCTGTGCTGCTGCTAGTATTAAACCAATAGAGTAATTTGGCTCATGCACTCGGCACAATACATTTATCTGCGCTTTGCATGTGTGCCTGCTGCATCAAAAACATCCTGCGCTCTGCGTTTGTGGTATTACACATAATGAACAGGGTGGCGGCGTCGTTCTAGGTATGCGACATTGTTCTCGCCGACACGTTCGTTTTTGTTTTGTCTAGACATCGTTTGAATATACGCCCATATTCAGATTTCCATGAGAGTTGCTGGTATTACTGGCAGCACATTCAATTCCAGAACAAAATGGCTGTCAGCTGGACATCTGCCAAGATAAACCTACTCAAGGTCAGCAAGTTTTATAATCCTCATGTATGAGGCCGGAGATCTCTGAGTTACCATGGCGACCAGAGGAGGCTCACCTCTCCTCGTGACGTGCCTTCCGCCTTTCCTCCTCCTGCTGCTCCTTAGGGTCTGGCTCCATTGTTCTGAAGGAACCCAAAAAGGCCCGAACATCAGCAGGGGAAGGTCTAGCTTTGGGGTCTTGTAGTACCCAGTGAGGTCTTGGTTACAGGATATTAATAATAGATACTTTATCAATCCCCGTGGGGTAATTGTCTTTACGCCTCCCTCAATTTGCTCTCCGTAGAGTAAGCTGTCCGCAAAGGGCAGCAACCCGTAGCAGCACCCAGGGAGCTGGGGGTTAAGGGCCTCGCTCAAGGACCTGCAGACGTGCCGAGGCTGGGTTTGAACCAGCGACCTTCTGATTACAGGCACAGCCCTCTGAGCCCCATGCTGTCCCCCTCATTGCATTGGCCGGGAATCGAACCTGAGCCTCCTGCATAGCAGGTGAGAATTCTACCACTGATATGGGATACGGGTATGATGAGTTCCTTCTATAATTCGTAATGGGGTTTAATAGAAAGTGTATCCAAGCTGACAATGAGAACCATACCTTGCATAGCAAACTTTGAATAAAGCTCTCTAATAAATGAAATGCGAAACAACAGCTATGCTCCAAAAATGCTGAAGGGGAAAAAAAAAAAATCAAAAACACACCTGACCGCCTCTAGCCATGATCCCACATGATGGCAAGTTAGGGGGATTCAGGTCCCCTTCTCCTCTCTGTCGAGTTTAATACTCACCTGCTCTTCTTACACCGGTAGTAGCAGCAGCAGCAGCAGACGAATATGCCAATCAGGATGATTCCACCAAACACAGATAGAGTGATGATCAGCGCTTGGAAGTTGACTAAAATGAAAGAAAGCGGAAAACAGAAAGGCTTTCATACATACTGTCATACATTGATTAAAGTCACAAATTCACAACAGTGTGGGCGTAGTGCTCAAATTTTACACACACCCTAAGTGAAAATCGGCATAATCTATATTTATTTGGGGATTTCCCTGCAAAATTAGGTACATGCTTTAAAATACAGTACACTATTCGAAACACACTTTCAGAGTGATTGATAGTAACACAGAAACAAACAAAGAAATGTGAACCACAGAATGGCTGCAGGAGATGGTGAGAACAGTCTCTGATAACTTATTATTTGCCAGGGAAAGAGAATCAGCTGAACTTCCTAGTGAGTTTTGTGTGTGACATTTCAGGGAAGAGCTAATCATTCTACCGCTCTGTCAGTTTGCACCCACCCCACATGTGAATCCGGTGAGCAGCATTTAAATACATTACCCCAGCAGCGCCCCCATCGGGCCTGAGCCAGGGGACACAGGCTAGAAGGTGGAAGGACACTCCTCACTGGGTAGACGACACATGTCATGGTCGTTCTGCACCAAAGGCACTACAACAAAACACACGCCCTGAACATTCAACAACTTCTGAATACGTCAGCGTTTCTACGCTGAACTTTCTTAATATCATGTAAATATTTACAGCTGAGGAACAGCTTATTAGCGTTCTGGTCCCTTATGAACGACAACAGAAATGGTCACATGACTATCCAGTGCCGTTGTCCTGGGAGACGCCTTAACTTTGTGGATTCTGCTGTGGATCAGGAGCAATGAAGACGGCTGATGTTCCTCACTCACCGATACATTCCTCAGACAGTCCTCACAGGTTGAGTTGGACATTTCACAGGCTGACAACAAAAAGCGAGCCGTTAGGAGGTCGGCGATGTGGCATTCTCGGATAACACTACATCTATACCGGTTTATTATGCAATTATACTATATACACCACATTCAAAAACATGACAAAAAAGAGTAACTATAATATGTGGAAATTATCCCAAGAGTCATGGATGTATCTATTAAAATCTGTGGGTTTTTTTAAGCAGGTAACCACTGTAATACATGCGCATCAACATTAGAGGAACTAGTAATGTATGAGATGTTTGTTCTTGACATGGTCTCCTTTCCTACCAACGAAAAGAAACTGGGTAGAAGGAGTTAAATAACTTGGGAATAAGCGGATCCATCCATGTTCCTTCTGTGAGATCAGGGAAGCTCCCAGGACTGCTAGTTGCCAAGGTCACGGTACATTTAATATACACATGGACATATGGACTGCTACACAAAGCTCATTAACAAAAAAACATTAATCAATCCTATCTGAAAATAGTACCGTCTTAGCAGTACAATCCTTATTTTCCGTCTTCCGTACATTCGATCAACACGCTTGGCTATGTTTATACACCATATAAAGTGCTTTCAATTCTAATGTCACTACACAATGGGGTTTCAATAAAACCAAACCTAGGTGTGGCCTTTAATAATCTCTTATTCGAAAACAACAACACGGCATTGCCGGTTCTGATGCGTTGAAGTTTGCACTGATCAACTTTTTCTTAAAGGCAGAAAGCATTAGCTGTAACATCGGAGCATAACAGGAACTCGATTCAGCTCCACCAGAAAAACGATAACTGCAAAAAAGCCCTAGCCGTGGTATAATGAAATTAAGAAAAACACTGGCGACGCCATACACGTATATCGCCAACAAGAAAGAAATCGGTATCCGTTTTGTTGAACTCGTTAATCAAAGGGACAAACTGGAACAGTTTCAATTATTTATTTTGGTCGTTTCGTGGATCATGGAAAAAAAACTGAAAAAAGGAGGAAAATTACTCACATTTCGCTGATGTCTGTGAAATCACCATAGAGAAAATCATAATCGCAAATGGGACGAATATACGTAACTCCACCATGTTTATACAAACAGCCGGCTTTTTATAGTTCAGTTGGGGATCAGATGGCAGTACTTTCTGCACTACCTTTGGCTGATTTTCCTTCGACGGTACAGTTTGCAAGCGGTTACTGTAACTAGTCTCGTTTCCCTACTTCTGCTGAGCTGCGCCCAAACGGATGCAGCCTTTCTGCATTTTAACATGTGACCTCATGCAATATTGCATATGTAATATACTGAAAAGTGGGATAAAACGCCAGTGTTGCAAGCAAGGGCGTGTCAAGCAAAAGCAAGGAAAATCACGTCCCTCAGAGCAGTTTGATGCTGCTCTCGATCAGTTACCAGGTACTTTTTGAAACGTTATAAAAATTCATAAAACGCAAAACTTATAAGGCATTCCAAATGCATGTGCATTATACGGAGTAATAGTAGTAACAGAAATATGTGAAAACTATATGGTATGTAACATATAAGGATCATATAAATTAATCCCGGTATACACAAATTACAGCATTCGGCTTTGTAAGTGTGACGTTGCTAAAGGTCAGAGCTTATATCTTACACTTCAGCCGAGGCACGTATACCCTATGAGACATGAGTTTGCAAAGAATAATTATCCAACAGATAAATAAATACACATTATATGCGAATATAAGTCTTATCGGGTGATACGTTTCATACGTCTCATCGCGGACGGTATAGGCGACCCATCCGCGGCCTCCACATATAACGTGATTTTCATGTGCTTACATGTGATAATTCATATTCTACGCACAGTAAGACATTACCAACATTAAATTCAGTAATAATAAAGCACATTTTATAATGTTTTACAGGACAGTACTGTACTCTGGAATGAAAGGGATCCTTACGTTTTAGCCTTTTTCTCAAGAGACGACGGAGCAACGAAAAAAAAATGTAAAAAGGGAAGACGGAGCAATGAAAATCATGCATTTTATACTCCTCAAAGGACGTAGGAACAATGGAAAAGCATTACACATTTGACAACATGCCCCCTGAATGTTTACTGGTTGTCAACTTCGGTCTCATTGACTGGAGTGAGATTTTCAGTTTGAGACAAACCTGCACACGCATTTACATGTATGTAACAGTTTTATTAACCGCAGTAAAGTTGAATGCTTGCAGCTCTTCTACCCACCGGACCACCTGCTGCTCTGGCTCTCGGAATGACGTCAGCTACTGCAGGGTTGCATGTTCGGTCCTGAAGTCCAAACACTAGTATCACCTGAAGCAGCCGCCACAACAGGCAGCTCGCCCCTGGTCACACAGAAGCACCGCTTGCTCTTGTTGGACACCTGGCTGAAATGGCTACTACTTGTTGCAGCACCCAGGGAGAAGTAACACATACAGCTGTCTATGGCCAACTCCATCATCTCACCCAAAGTCATGGGGTCGGCACCATCTCGTCAGCCAGGATGCAGAGGGAGTGACCTGCCTGCTTGGCGTGATGTTTAAACTCAATGCGTATGGAGTCTCTCCGATTAAATTCTCTGAAGTGCCTCTGTAAAGCACCAAACGGAGTCCTGGAGTCACTCCTCTCGTCCAGGTTCAGTGGCAGCAAGCATGCTAACGCACCCTCGGTCAGTGAAAGAGCCAGCTGTAAAGCTTCTGTTGCCTCCAAACAAAGAACTGCAGAAGCTAAAATGTCAAATTGAGCCAGTTATGCCTCTCAGCTACCATTGCCTTAATGCCCAGCGATTCTAAGCACTGGGTGCTGCCATCTTTGTTTACCTCCACTTGGGCAGTGACATGACGCTGATGCCGATGCGTTTGAGGGTGTTCCTCAATACCAACAACACAGGGATCATACTTGTGGTCTTGGCAAGAGCGGTCTTGCTAACTTGCCTCCTAAGAAAAAACTTGGGGCGCAATGAATCATGGGATTGGTCCTGTATGGCGAGGATATAACTGATATATCCATGATATTTGGGGCGGGGCAAGAACGACACCCGGGGATTTATTACCGTCCTCTATACTTTTTTCAGTATAGGAACTGGGTCTTCGTCAAAGGAAGATGCCGTAAAACGGGTACCTGTCATGCGAACAGCACAAAACGCCTCCGGCATGCCAATTACACAGTCAGGAGACTCCTGCTTCACCTCCGTGCAGATGTCTGCCTGTCTCCGTCCATCGCAAAGTTCGCCGTGACCTCCGTCAGGGTTTTGCACTGTGTTGGCTCGAAAAGCAGGCTTCTGACGGCAGTGTAAAGACCCGCAGTCAAGATAACCGCTAACACCAGAGGTTATAACACCGGATTCTTTATTTAACTGCGTAAGGGCTGCTGTTAGGGCCACAAACCACACTACTCCAACTCAACTCACACCTTACCCATGGTACATCCTCTTTTTAAAACCTCCACTCGGGCCCCACCACAGTGCAACAGCAAACAACCCCATTCACCATTTACATTAAACCAAATGCCCAATAACAGTACCACATTTGGTGAGAAGGAAAAGAGGATGTGTTTGGGGATCAAGATCAATCAGGTAGCACTTCTCATGAATATTAATGAGTTTTCCTTAACCACCCTGTAAAACAGAAAATTCACATCCAGGGAAACCCAGGTGTATGCTAACCTTACAGTTAACTCTCATTTTACAATCTACAGACAACTGACACAATATACATGCATAAAAGTCTTTTTCAACAAAAGTTACAAAACTAAAGCTAAAGTTAGTTAAATTTCAAGCAAATGACGCGCTTCACTTTTCACATGAAAACAATAAAGTGTCCAAGTGACAATGATTAAGTTGATGTCACTGGTGAGCAGCGTGACACGTAGAGCCTTGCAAATACTGTGTGATGATACTGAGTGGCTGCCTTATACTGGAAATCAGCGCATTTTCCTTCGTTTGGTACGCCACTGTAACTTGCAACACTGGCTCGTGTGGGTTGCAGCGCTAAACCCAGACAAACCACAGATTTTTGAAAAACCGCCCAGACGCCTGGACAGGAGCCCAAATGGAGGACGTGTCTGAGGAAACCTGGATGTATGGTAACCCTACTCAATAATAAGAATTGAACATCAACTACAAACTTAACTCAAGTTGTTACAATATATAGGCCCACAACAATCTATCCATCTATCTATATTCCACAACTGGGTACACCTTCCTATACATTAATACCCCCCCCCGCCCCCACAATCCGCAGTTTTAGTAACTGCGATTTCAGTTAGCCATGGTTCCTCGCGGTCCAAAAAATTATAATAAAATGTGTAACAGTATGTTTTTTCATTGTTCCTTCATCCCTAGATACATGATATTTTTCCATTGCATCTCTTGAGAATTAGGCTAAAACACCATAATCTGTCATTCCAAAGAGAATACAATGCTGTTTAGTACTATATAATAGTGTACAATGTACTTTATTATTGCTGTGTTTAATGTTGGTGATGCTTTGCGTAATTACCCTATATAAGTACAGGAAAATCACTGTACATACAGGGTGCATGGGTGGGTTGCTATTATCCGTAATTTCAGCTGTCTGCGGAAGGTCTTGGAACGTGTCACCCATGGAGAGGGGAGGATACCGTACTGGGTTGAGCTTTTCTCAGCAATCATGAACTCTGAATAGGATTCCAGGCCATCTTAGGTCGACACACTCTCTCACACAATATGAGCACAGATGACAGAAAGGTGATTAAATCCAATAATTTATTAAAGCATTTTGTAAAGCCAGTTACAAAAAAATTACGTACTCTCTCGCTCTCTTTTTTTAACAAGCACATTATTGGTGATAATAACAATAGTAAATGCATACATTCCAGTCCAGGCGTGGCTGCCAGCAGCTGCCTGGTGCCCGTAGTGTAACAGCAGTAAGATGCAGGACTGCAGGTGCTGTCCATCAGGTCCGGGCACCTTTCTCCGGATCCTCAGGTAATGGCACTACGAGCCACAAGGGGGTGCTCCTGATCCCACTAAAATCTCCATCTTTACTGTGAGGGTGGATGCTCTGCCCATTTTACCCCCCCCCCCCTCATTTCTTTCTTTATACAATTCACTTTAGATATAGAATAAATATCCATCCCCATCATTACATCCAATCAATCTTCCCTAAACCACCAGACACTCTAAAACACATTTTAAACATCCTCATTATGTCTGTTTGACTTTTAACAACACATTTCCCCCCATTTTTTTTTCCAATTCCCAAACAAAACTTGCATCACACTAACAGAACAATTTAAACTTCTTAACAAGAAAGCATACGCTACTCATCAGATGGCAGATATTTAAATGTTTTATAAACATATTTGTTTTTTTTTTTTTTTGTTTTTTTTTTAAAAATACGTATCGTGAATTATGCAATGCAACAATACTGTATGATTATAATGTCTTTACTCAAATTTGTTCAAAGTGGCAAAGGTTGGCTGCCACTTTGCCAGCGTGGAATAGCCCAGGAAGAGTGAAATGAGGAGGGACAACTGTTCCTACTGCATGGTCACTGTAGATTAGTTGTCTGGCAAGATGTGCTTTTCACCAAGGGTGTAGGTTTGGTTTCAGCATTGGTAGGGACCTAATCAGGCCCAAACCCCCCGTCCCAATAAAAACACACAGGACGCCCACAATATTGGTAGGGACAAGTCTGGGGCCTTGCTTGTCATGGTTGTGTGTTCTGTGCTCACTAAAGCAGTAACAAACCCATTGAGGGAATGTCACTTACGGGAGATAAACAGTACGACTGTTTAAGGCATCGAGATTTCAGGGATGCTGACTCCAGCTTTTCACATACAGGGTATCGGGCTTCTCCACCACGCACATCCCGCTCATAAAGAAGCTCGTTGTATTTGTAACAGCTGAGAAACGGACTCGCATCATTTTTTCCTTATGACATTGACGTACAATTATATCCTTGCAGAAGTAACAGTCTAAAAACACCACGTTCTTCACACGACACAAGCAGGTACAGCTGAACCTATTTGATCTGTTCTGTGGAAATTGTACTTAAGTCAACATTAACGAAACAGCCACACGCTGCGCTGAACCCGAAACAAATTCGTATGGAGGCTCAGCAGTGGTGATGCATATATTGACACAAGTGGACGTGAGCTCCTGATACCAGAACCCTGGAAGGACATGTGATCATGCAGCACGGGAAGGGGAACCTGGGGCTGTCCCTGGGAACCGAAGGCCGTTGGGTCACAGTCAGGGCTCAGTCTGTACAACTGTAAACATGACTGTGCTTCCAAGACTGGCTGGCAAGTGAGGCATCTTGATTAATGTGCAGGTGACCAGTAGGAGCAGATGGCTTCAGTATCTCATCGTTGAGTTTTGGCAGTAGTTAGGTAATGAGTGTACTAGTTAAGCTTTTGTGCTCCATTTGTTTGAAATTTCAGTTTGCTCACTTTGAAAAACAGCAACAGCGATCTGTATGAGGGACAGTGCTCACGGCCTGCCGCAGTCTGTGCGCTGTGGCACGGCTAACACGGCTAACACGGCTAGCACGGCTCCCCCATAGGGTTTTGCTCACAGTAGACGAAATGGCTCTTCTATGTATTTGGGTCAGCTTCCCCATCAGCTTACACACGTCAGCATCCTGGACCCACCAGCCGCTGGTACATGGGTTCTCACGCCGCGAGGACGCCGGACGCCGATTGGGCCTGACGGATCACCTGATCCAGGTGCTGCCGCAGCTCGTCACGGACCTGACGCTGCAGCGCTTCTTCACGATCATGTTGATGTAGGCCTTCATTATCTTGGCGATTTCTCCGACCTGCCGTGGCCCAAAAGAAGAGTGTCACCGGAAAAACAAAGTTTGGCTTCCGTTTCTATGCCTGACACGCCGCTTGCGGCACGGGTATCTAAAATGTGTAAGATCAGGAATGGGAACGTGACACCCGGTCCTCACCTGTGGCGTTTCGAAGAACATCTCCCTCTCGTCCACAGTGATCTTGTAGGTGCTGGGCTGCGGTGCCCCGAAGAAAACTATGTGCTCGTACTGGAACGTCTCCAGAGGCTTGGGCTCCCCCCGTTTGTACACGGACACGTTCTCTGCACTCACGCCCAGCCACAGGTCGTGGGGGAATCCTCCTTCTTTACACTGGGGGAATTTCACACAAGAACAGGTACTGATCAGTGCTGGGGAAGCTACTTGTAAACGGTGGCTTTTCAAGCTACAGGCTAATTATGATTAAATTAGCTAAGATACAGCCAAGCTACTGTTTTAATATAGTAGTTGGCTACACTACAAGCTACAGAGAAAAAGTAGTTAACTACATCGAAGCGTTATCATCGAGTAATACTTGATATTTGTGCTGTTGGATACTCTTAGAATAAATTAATTTAAAAAATGTGAAACATGATGTTAAAAGTTGAAATGAAAATCTATATTTTTTAACAATGTAATGTCAGATCACCATACGACTTCAAAAAAACAGCTTCTGTGTTTGGTGTAAACCAACAGTACTTGACAACTGCCCTTAATTTTATATGCAAAAATTATCATAGGTACAGAATACTGCATAATAAAACTATATTATCTTCAAGTCATAATAATAATTGATACTTCATTGATCCCTGTGGGGAAAATCTCTTTTTATGTCTCCCTCAACTTGCTTGTTGCAGAGTGAGTTGTCTGCAAAGGGCAGCCACCCATAGCTGCACCCAGGGAGCTAGGGGTTAAGAGCCTTGCTCAAGGACCCAAAGACATGCTGAAGTGGGATTTGAACCACCGACCTTTGGATTACAGACACACAGGCTTAGCCCACTGAGTCACACACTGTGTTCGGTGTTTTTTAGTCTTTCTATCATGATTTTCTTAGTTCATTATTGTTACACAAACAGATATGAATGAATTCTGTTCTGTGAGCGCTGCGAACAGTATCCTGAGCACGAGATGAATGAATGAGTGTCACGCGGAGACACTCGTGCTGCCGGCAGTCGTGGTGGAAGCTGTCATACGCTCACACAGGGCAGCTCTCGCACAACCAGACATGGTGCAAACGGTGCCACATATCTGTAGCCTCGTATCGGTCGCTAAGTCGAGCAGTCATAAGTCGCATAGGTCGTGATCTATTTATTTATTTATTTTTAAACAACGCTATATTGCTATTAAGGTACTAGAAAAGGTATTGCGTTTTAATAGTAGCTGTGCTACTGATAAGCTACTGAAAGAAGTAGCTAAGTTAGTAGCGTGGCTAATTTTAGTTAGCTGCTCCCCATCACTGGCTGCATGCCCCTCACCTCCACGTCGAAGAGCGTGGAGCCGTAGCCGGGCCACTCCTTGACGACGGCCATGTACTTCAGCATGGCCTGGTGCTGGGGGAGCCCCTGCAGGCGCCCCCACTTCTCCACGATGCTGGCGCGTGTGGCCGATGTCTCCTCGCGCACCCACATCTCCAGCATCTGCTCGTCCTCCATGCGCTGCTTACGCAGCGAGCCCGTCTTGAAGCTGCGTCGCAGGGTACCATCCAGGAAGCTGGTGCGCCGCCGCTCCAGTGTGTGGCTGCCTGCCCCCGCCGCGCCGGGCGCTCCCGCCCCCGCCCCGGCCGCCCCGCTGCCCGCACCCGCCTTGGTTGACTGCAGGATGCGGGCCCGCAGGCGCCCCACGGGGTAGATGGTTTCCAGGCTCCAGCCGCCGCGACCCACGTCGCCGTGAAGGTACTGCAGGCGCAGGGCGGCCAGGTGCTGCAGGGTCTCCTCTGACGCAGGGAAATGGCCACTGATCAGGCTCTCATGGGCCTAGACAGAGGAAGAGGAGTGCAGAGGGACAGGGGTCAAGGAGGGGGGACAGAGAGACAGGGAGGGGGAGAGAGAGATGGGGAACAATGAGGGGGTCAAGAGGTATGGGGTCAAGGAGGGGGGACAGAGAATCAGGGAGGGAGGGGGGACAAGAGGGAAGAGAGATAGAGAGAGAGAAAGGGGGAGACAAGGAGGGGGGACAGAGAATCAGGGAGGAGGAGAGAGATGGGGGATGAGGAGGGGAGAGGGACAGGGGGGCAGAGAGAGATAGGGGACAAAGAGAGGGACAAAGAAAGACAGGAAGAAGGTGATGGGGCCAAAGGGAGGGCAGAGAGGGATAGAGAGAGAGAGAAAGAAAAAAGAAAGAGTTTCACAACGCAAATGTGATGACAGAGAGACACAACATATATATATATTTCATAACCCTAGTAATTAATAAATACTTATTGTCCCATTGCTGGGCTGGTGTAGCAGCCTACTAGCTGCCATCAGACATGACTGGGGGGGGGGGGGGGGCTCACCTGCTCAAACATGAAGGCAAACTCCACTCCCTCCTTGGGCATGCTCTCCACATCCAGGAAGCAGTAGAGTTTGAAATAAAGGCGGCACTGGCCTACCTCTTCCCCCTCCTCACTCCCTGCCAGCCTTGAGGAAACACAGATTCAGCCGATTACAACCAGTTGACAGAAGGATCAGCTTCCACTGCTGGTTTAAAACGTGGTAAATATCAACTTTTATAAGCAGACAGACTGCAGGCTGTGAGCTGCATACTGCCTTATGGAAACTGTGTGTCCAGAACATGCAAATGGACTGTTTGAGCTGGTTCAGATTCAGTGTCGCCGTCGAGGGCTCTGTAGAAACACCCCAAGTGCAGCCCCTCTACCTCTCGAACTTGGCCAGCACGTCAGCCACTATGACGCGACTCTCCACGGCCCTATCGGTGACGCTGCTGTGCTCGAACAGGGCGAACATGTTCCTGCTGTCTTCCATGGCAAGACCACGGATGAGCTTCTCCACCACCTGGAGGCGCCGAAGGAGCGACGTCAGGATGATGATAAATAATATATGTCAATAAACAAACAAACAAATAAAAATGTGATGAAAGCGTGTTAGTGTGAGATGAAGTAGCACCTCTCCAGCAGTGGTGTGGGAGTTGATGGAGATCTTGCAGGACCCTCCCCCGTGGCAGTACACCGTGGTGGTCATCTCCTGCCGCGTCTGCAGTGCACTGACCTCCTCCTGAGAGGGCACATATTCTCTGGACTTGGTCTTCTTCAGCGACTCTCCAGTAAAGTGGGCGTACTTCTCAATCTCAGTCCCTGGGAACTGTTCCCTAATCCTGTGAAATAACACACATGGATGTAGACACTGTGATCACCTACTGTGGATGAGGAAGGTAGTCCAAAAACAGATCTTCCCAAACCACTCCTTGGGGATCCTCATTCATTCCACGAATTCCACTACCACAGAATATCTGATTTAACTAATGAAGAGCTGGATAATTTGTAGACTCAATACATCAGGCAATGATTCATGGTGACCCTTATACCCTTCCCCCCCAGAGAAAAAAATAATTCTGAAGATGTCATTTCCCAGGCTGGTTTCTGTTCCCAGTGTATCACGCAAGGCATGAGATGTCTGGAATTCCTCAAAAGAGAACTGCTGATCCAAGGCATAGATGTAGACAGAGGAACTCCAAACTGAGGAAAATGCCCTATCAGACACAGGCGGTGAGTGGGAATGGGCGCCTACCTCTTCAGGTGGAACTTGAGGTAGCGCAGGATGGCGCGGTTGGGCAGGAACGTGCAGCTCATGCACGTGAGCAGGTGCCAGTGGGCACGGTTTCCGGGGCTGTTGGGCTGGGGGACGTGATTGGTCTGTTTGATCAGCTGACAGTAGACCTCGTCACGCAGTTCTCGCAGGTCCTGGCAGGTCTGCAGGATACCCTGGATGATGGGCACGGGGTCAGACATGATCTCCATTTCCTGCAGGGAATTGAAGATCTTCACGGCCTCGTCCTGAAGGCTGGCATAGCCCTTTGACTTGTGGACTGGGAGACGAAGAAGGAAAAATTGTATGTATGAATAACTAATTGATAGGGTGAGAGAGTTTATTGAAAAGCTAAACCACTGAAAAATTAAAATTGTAAAAATGGTTATTTGTCTTGTAGAAACACTTTGTAAACATACATAGTCAGCACTGCTGCAATGTGTATCATACTGTGAATCTGTTCTAACGCGATTGATATATTTGTACCCAAGTCCAGCACAATGAGGAATATTTGTAGTTGTGTGATTTTCAGTTGGAGAAAAAAGCACTTTGCAAACTACAATGTGACATGGTCTTACTGAGACACACAGCACACAAAAACAACTGTATATGTAATCCATTATACTGCTGCTGTGTGCATGTCCCGCCGCAAGCCGGCTGCGGCTCACTACTCCTAGCTAATGATGGCCAATACGACACCATTTGTGGTATTTTTTGACCCCACTAGATGGCACTCTTGACTTGCTTGGTTGCATACTTTGTGCTCATTTTAGAACAGACAGCACCATCTAGTGGGGGCAAAAAATACAGCAAAAGGTTCATGAAGTGTCTTTTTTGCAATCACATACAGTAGCATCACTGACTCCTGGCAAACAACAAGTTTAGTGAGTTTGACATGTTCGGTTGGAGTGATTACTAAGAAATTCTTGCGAGACTCATAAGACCCATATGATATAAATTATTAAATTATTGTTATCGTTTCTTATTTAAAATGCATATAATTACATTATTGGCCTCTGGTATCACTAATTCATTTTGTTTTGTGGAACTTCCAGAGATTTGCACTTGCAATCCCATAACTATTTTTCCCATTGGATGTGTGCATTTTAAGTACCCAATTTTATTGAGGTTTTTCAGCAACGTATTAGTTGTGTTGTAGCAGGACTGACTGTAGAGCTTAGCGTTACAGATCAGGGTTGTGTTACAGAGGCATGCTGTTGATAGACAGTGTAGGGTTCCTACAGCACTGGGTCAGTTCTGCAGGGGTGCTGAGGAACCCTGCCACCCAGAGAACAGAGGAGAGGAGACTCACGGGTGACGTTGACCTCCCCGTAGGGCAGGGGTAGCAGTGGCGAGTGCAGGGGGTGCTGGGTGTATCTCAGGATTGGGTTCCTCCGGTACGTCTGCTCCACCACCTCCGGGTTCAGGCTGGTCTCCTGGGGGAGGGAATGTGGAAGCAAGGCTGAGTTTTCATATGTCATTTCAGGTGAACCACTGAGGTCTTCACACGCACACAACGCACAACACTTAACCTAGACAGAAACAGTTTTAAGATTCAAAGGCGGAAAGGTAAGTAACATCCCAGGAAATCAGTGATATGACTGTGGCGGCTGTGTAGCCTTGAGTCATGGCACCACTGATCCACGACAAGATGCAGCGCTGTAGTAAAACTGAATCCTTCGACAGCCACTCAGATGCGAGATGTGGGCGGAGCATAAGGCAGCCCGAGTCTTGAATTATACAGGAGCACATGTGGGTTCACTTTCACAGGCCAGAAACAACAAGTGTAGGCCAGGTGTACTCTGGGATACCTCACTTAACTACCGTACGTGTCCCTATCCAAGAACAGTGTATGCAGCGGTACGTCCCTCCATGGCTGAAACAGAGACGCGTAGCGCATGAGCAGAGGTCACATTTTTCCCACATTTGGTCATTACGCATGGCAACGAGAAGATGCCTTGGGTAGGAGGCCACCCGTACCTTGATGTCCCGGATGAGCTGCTGCGTGGGGGTCTCGATGGGGACCTTGCTGTCAATGACGCCCTGTATGGCAGAAGCCCACCTCATGGCTTCGTTTAGCATCTTGTTGTACAGACGGTAGGAGTGCTTGCGTCCGTGGACAATAATATTCCAGTAACCTGGAACAAACAGTGGGGATGGTCAGATTCCACACCAGGTTCTAGATGGACTCTAGAAGCCTCTAAAGCAGTGTTTCCCAATTTGGTCCTCGGGGACTCACAGTCAGTCCATGTTAACACTCTGTTTGAGCTCCCTGTCAGACAGTACACATTTTTGCTCCCTCCCAGCTGCTGAATGGGAGCAAAAACATCGGCTATCTGTGGATCCCCGAGGACTGGTTTGGGAAACACTGCCCTAAAGGCATCAAAGTCATCCTATAGCAAGTGATCTATTGGGTGATAATCAGTCAATCCTTAACTTAAAAAAATATGTAATGGAAGAAAATGTTTAGTGCACTTTAAAAGGGTTTTATAAAACCCACAGGATGATGACTTTAGTCGGCCAGGGATAACCACCATTATTGCAGTTATTGAGAAACTGCCTCTGAAACAGATGCAGAAGCTTTGCAGCCTCTGCACGCTGAAGGTCCATGGTCCTCCTTGAGAACTTCCGCGAGTGAGCGCTCACCAGTCTCCTTGAAGACCTTCTCCTCTGGCTGCACCACGGAGCAGAGGCTGTTCAGCACCAGTGTGCCCAGCTTGGAGGCACTCTTCTCAGAGGACTTGTAGTAATCCAGGGAGTTGTTGTTCAGCACGAACCAGCGCTTCTTCAGCTTGAGGGAGGTGCTCTTGCCCCCAGACTTCATCTCCTTGTGCAGCCAACCTGAGAACATCAAATCCCAGAGAGATCTTTGTGAAGGAGACTCTCACATCCAAAGGGATCACCTTTAAAGCTCCTTGCCTTATAGTAGATCTTGTCCACAAAGTCTAAGACGTTTATTAGGAAGGTAAAGCCAGCAAACCTTGAAATATGTTATTATCTCCGAAATTCATCCAGACCTACATCTCTAATCGCAGGCAAATGCATGTGACTTTAAGATATCTGGTTTGTACACAGTAATGCAAGTACAGTAACGCAAAAACAGTGACATGTTTAGTAAGAACCTCTTGCAGAGTTTGGAGCAGGCCAAGAGGGCCTTGAATTGCTATCAGTGCAATGAATTGCCATTAAGAAGCAAGTCAGGATGGGTTGTAAGTAGGTGAGCGCATCTGTGAATAAAAAGGTCCACATCAGGAAACAGTAAAAAGCCTGTAATATGTGGGAGGGTCTTGTAGGTACCTAGAGCTCCTCTATTGTTAGCTTTCCATGCGTGTGAGCCACACCAACCATCCCCACCCCCATCATCTTGTGGTGCTGACCCAAACTCTCACCTCTGACCAGGAACTCCTGCCCGTCGACCTTGGAGTCTCCCTTGGGCTTCTGCAGCAGGCTGATCCAGTGGTGCATCTCCTCCGGTGTGTCCGTGTTGCAATGGATGACCCGGTTGGCTGTGATGATCACGAAGGAGTTGGGCCTGCAGGCACATTGGTCTCAGGGAATACAGCTAAACCATAGAGAAACAGCACTCACTATACCGCAAAACAACTAGACATGCAGTTCGCCTAATTCACCACTAGAGGCACTTTTACCTGTCAGGGTTGTCTGAGGCACAGACTGAATCTATCAGCCCAACATCCAGTGTTCCCTGGAGACAGATGAGGGAGAAGAATGATTCAAGGTTGTGCCAGACAGAGTGACAGCGCTACTGCTTACTGGGCAGCCATGACGGACTAAGTGGGAAGCGACACTGACCACAGCGTTTTTGGGGTTGGCCTGTTCGTGCTGCATCTCCAGAAGTTGCTCCGGCGTTGCGCTGCGGACCCGACTCAGCATGTGGAACCAGCCACTGTGTTGTGTGTAACAGGAGCAAGCAAAGTAAATCCAACATGTCTGTGATAAATATGCTTCTCTTATTTATTGGCTGTACTGTGTATTATCAGAATCTTCCACCAGGTGGCGCAAACATCTACTTTTTAGTAAAACCTTTTTTTTCATCCCCGAATTCATTCAATGTCATGACCCCAACTAGCCAATCTTTCTCAAAAATAAAGCGCACAGTGATTGGTTGGTAAACATAAGACATAAGAGACGTAGCAGTGAGGACCCACCTGGCGTCCTCCGGAGACTCGGCGAACACTTGGTAAGTTCTCTCCTCCGTCACGATATTCAGAGCATTCTCCTTTTCGTGGTTATCCACAATTTCCCTGCAAAGGCCCTCAGGGTCAGGCCACAGCCCCCGACAAAACATTGCCTCATGTATGCAGCATAAGTGGACATTTGCACACACACACACACACACACACACACACACAGTTTTGTAATTATATATCTGTGGGGACTCTCCATTCATTTCTATGGTGAAAACTTTAATCCCAACATGACGACCTTAACCCCTACCCAGCCCTAACCATAAGTAACCAAACAAAATATGAGACTGTTGGCATTTTTAGTTTTTTTATTGCATTCACAGATCTTTGTGGGGACCTGAAAAATGGTCCCCCACAATGTCAAAAAACAGGTTATCACATTGGGGGGTACATTTGGTCCCCACAATGTAATATAACTATACATAATACACACACACACACACACACACACACACACACACAATGAATGCAGTTTATAGTTGTGTTTCTGGGGGATTCCCAGTCACAGGCCAGACACAACAAGTAGACATTTGGCTAAAAAGAAGTTGCCCTGTGACGATGTCCCCACAATGTCTCTTTCTTTTAATACAATAGAGCTGTTCCACGAGATGGGAACCCCCCCCACACACACACACACACACACACACACACACGGCCAGTTCCTACTTGGCTGTGCGGACATCAATGGTCCCCTTCAGCTTCTCTTCGCTGTCGTTCTCGAAGTACATGAGCTTGGACTCTCGCAGCACGAACCAGCGCATCTTCCAGTTGCGCCGAGACAAGGTGGACAGGCCGCCGCCCTTCTTATACAGCCAGCCGGACTTGAGGGACTCCTGCTTGGCTCGGAACCACATGAACGTCTCGTCCTTCAGCACGCACCAGCGGCGTCTCCATGGGTTCATCAGGCCGCCTGAGGAGGGGATGGTGCGTTGGTCAGACCCACCTGCGGCTGACGAATCGTGGCCATGCGTCATGTGGTCAGGCTGGAGAGAGCTCTCAACAAAACTGGCTGAGTGACACATGGTCTAGTGGCTGTTCCCGGTCACTGCTTGTATGTTGCTTGTGTAGCTGTACGTCACATAAACTGGGACATGCATGACTCTGTATATGACTCCGTATGGCAGTGTATGACTATGACTCTGTATGTGACTGTGCCTAACCTTCCTTTAGCAATCCATCCAGTCATGGGGTTCAGTCTCTCACTGTTGACATAATGAGTTAATGGACAACAGTGCTGATACCAAACCTGCTACTGACAACATTCACTGGCTTTTTTTTTTAACACTTTGGAAGAATTCCTGGGGGGGGGGGGCACAGCGTGGCACAGACAGCACAGATACAGGCCTCTCTCCATCAAAATAGCCGCCTTCTAAATAGAACGACTGTGATAACCCAGCAAGGTCATGCGGGTAGGAACAACAATATTACAATATTAATATTATTTGATAACAGATAGTCTGAAACAGAAATTGCTATTTAAATACATATATACTGAACACCAATTATAGACTGTTTCTAACGTACCTGAGATTGCAATGCAGTTCAAATGATATGTGTTACTATGTGTGATTCTGCAATGCCTGTAAGCCTGGAATGTGACTCCCTCGTTTCCATGGTAACGAAGGAGGTCCGGGCGTTTGAGGGGGCCGACCATTCTCACCCTTCATGTACAGGTAGCTGTGGAAGTACGGGGGCCCGTTTCCGTTCAGCAGGTTCACCCTCCCGTTGGACACCTCCTCGTCCGTGTCCACACCCCCGTCATTGTCATCGTCGCTGTCAATAAACTGTCAATAAAGCAATAGATGATGATATTAAACCCCAGCAGGTGGCTCTGAGGGCCACGAAGAAACCCTGAGGATTGAAATGCACACGACACAGTGGCTGGTTCCACATGTTGAATTGCCTGCTCCGAACATTCATGTCTGTGTCCAACATAAATCTGCCGATCTCAGATACTGGATCACATAGAAACACAGCAATGAGCGGGAAAATGGATGCTTCAGCAAATACATTCAATCTGTATAAATAAGGATTCTCTGCCTGTTAAGCAGTATAGAGTTAAAATATTCTTTAAATACTGAAAGGAACTTTAAAGGAAGTAACTATTTCAACAGAGGAACAGCAACAAGTTAATTAATTAAATTAACAAATGAACGTGAAAAAAACAACAGGTCAGCTGCTGTTCATTGTTGCTGCAAAGTGCTGGTGAACCATATACTATACAGCCCAGCCAGCCCATATACTACACAGCCCAGCCGGCCCATATACTACACAGCCCAGCCTGCCCCTATACTACACAGCCCAGCCGGCCCCTATACTACACAGCCCAGCCGGCCCCTATACTACACAGCCCACCTCCCCCCATACTACACAGCCCAGCCGGCCCCTATACTAC